GGGCACTGAACTTCCAGGACCCCTGAAATCTCTTTTGCAAATGTTTGCTTCATAATGCAAGGGTTGCACTCTTAGTTCCATTTGCCAGTAGGAACTGTCAAGAAAAAAGTCGGAATCAACTGATCAGATGAGGAAGTTACTTATCTGTGCGCAACTCAAGATGGCGAGAAAAGGGACTTCCCTGATATTTATTCAACTCCATAAGAAATCTTATTACTCGTACGATGTTTGGACCAGGCGATCTCAGGTGTACTCAGATGAACTTGAATGAAGTTCAAGATCTCGTAGAGAACTTATTTCGTGCACAGGGGGGTGATCTGCTTCATGCCTCACCGTTCCTCATATCTCACAGGTACAAACTGATTAGCATAAGATTAACCAGAGACTGCATAAAGGATACACTGAAATGTATTTCTGATGTGAAATTTCAATCAGTTTTTTTACCCGAAAAGCAATATGGTTTCTTCGTAACCGCAGGAACTGCCTTGGAAAACCCGTTCCACCTTCTGCTATGCAGTCGAGTTTGTACTTGTGCTTGCACGGCTTCCGCGTAGTGTTGTCAAACAAGCAATGATCAACTTAAATCAGCGCTTCCAACAAGACTTCGAAGAAGAGAACGGCACGACTGTATGGGGCTGGTCAGGTTGTATCTACGCAGTAGAGACTTTCTCAATATGCGTCTTTCGCAACGCCTGATTAAAACCAGAATGAATGGTATTCTGGGACAGGATATCTAAAGACAAAATATCACGGTGACCAGATTTCTCATCTGTCGTGGACTGCGGCTCTTCTTAATTTTTGTGACCAGAAATTCCGCCAGAGTGGGTACAGAAGTCTTGAAGATCTCACCAAATAGGACACAGTTACACTTACAAACATTAAAGGGAACACATAAATTTACACACGGACGGTATAATTTCACACGTTGTTCGTACTGAAGAGACCAACACAGAAAAAGGAGAGATTTGTTCTCTCCTTGTGGGTGAAAACTGCACACTGGCTCACTCTTGACTAGGAACTCTGTAGTGGACGCTTCAGGGGAGGGACCCTTTTCAAACTGAAAGTAGCTGATCACAGACAGTCCCACTTCCTGATTATTGAATGCACTTTCCAAAATTAATACAACATGTGGAAATATATTTCACACTAATTCTGTTTCTGTAAGACGGCTTCCAACTGCGCTAGAGCAGAGGCTAACATACAAAGCAACGGACGAAGGGGCTAATCAGACGAAGAAATATCAGCGTTTTTTCTAAATAAAGGCAACCATATTTGAACGAAATACACGCCTAACTACACAATGACAACGCTACCTCAATTTAGGACAGGCATCTAAGTCGCGTATAAATCCAGTGCCATTAACCATTGTGACTTGATCATGTGCTGCGCCTGCCAAAACGGCGTCTACCGCAACCAGTGTTGTTCTCCATGTGTCCTTCAAAATGACTCAAACCGTGGGTTGTACAACCTAAGAGTGGGCAGAAGGGTGTGACAGGGACAACGAAGAAACCAGGTATTGTTTGTACAGTCCGCTTTCAGGATTGGGTCCTATATAAAGATCTAGACGCTTGGTGGGTGACATTACAAGAAAACAGCAGCTGAACGATACTAGTGACGTTCATGCCGTCAGTTCTCTCCAGCTTGTCTGATTGGGTACATCTGGGCCTAGGTACCTCAGAATGGTTGCGACAGACCAGCAACAAGTCCCCTCCCCCACCGACATTTATCTTCTTTTTACTGTACGACTCTAAATGTAATTTGCTAAACTTTGTGGTAGTAGCACAATGAAACATCATTGCTGCCTCTGTGAGGATGATGATGGTTCTGTATGTCTAAGCCTTTCTTCTACTGAAATCATACTGGACTGCACTAGAAATCATCGAAGAGGTCTGATCAGATAGACCAAACTGCATTTGTTGGCACCGAACATAGGCTAGTCGGACGTAGGTTATCTGGGTCAGGCTGACGGCTACCTTTGTGGCACAGGGTAACATTTGCTTCATGCGCTGCCAGGAAAAGCATGGTGTCAGAAAACTTCCGGTAGAATATTGTGGGTGGTTTAAAATGATCCCTTAGTACTTGTACTGCGGCATTTTGTAGTTAATAGCTTTCGTTTTACGGCCACTACGGGTGGTATGTGCCAGAAATGTTATACTGGTGGCTGTTTATGTGCGTTTAGTTGCCACTGACCAGGTGATTGTTGGCTTGTCAACAGAGCTTGGGAACTGGTTCTCAAACGTTCCGTCACTGCACAAAGAGACTTCATCAATGGCCGTATCGCTTTGTAGAGAGCTTTCAAACTGGCCAACTTCTCCTGAGCAGGAAGCTAGACGTTTTCTGAGTTGAGGCTGTTGCGTGAGTCTGTTGGTTTCGGACCGGCAATCAGCGGCGGCGTGCTCAAAACACCGGTGTATGAGTGGCGTATAGTTTCGTGTCATGGACATATCTTACTGACTGCGGCAAATCAAAGTTTATTTTCGATGCTCAAATCATGAACCTTATCGTGCGTTAAACGAGTCGGCCAACTTCCAGGATTGATGTCTCAGCGCTCTTGCAGTTTGCCAGTGCAAGCATGTATTGGACGTCGGTTGTGCATATACAACCGATTTAAAACGCTGCTGCTGGCTACGTAGTTTGGAAAATTTACCTGAGAGGTCAATTTTGCTCGCTTGTTTTTTTCTTTTACTCTGAGGACGCATATATACATACATACAAAAACGATCTACTACTTATTAGCTTTTCGCCTCCAGTAGCTTGACACTGAATGAGTCAGCTGGCCTACAGACAACTCTTTTGTCCCAGGGAGCATAACAAGAAAGCCCGTTGGGTAAGAATCCAATCAATTTTATCGTACGCAAATAGGAATGCCCCTATACCCCTGCTGGAGCTGAAGAGGATTCCGAGCAGTGTTGGGTAGCCAGCCTGGATAGAACCCAGTCTTATGTAGGTCTAGTCAATCCAGAAAGTAGGCTAGTAACCTTCGTTTGTGTATGAAACTTGATCCACATAACACCTCTACTTATCTGAGCCGGTGATAGGGGTGTGGGTGGGCACGTTCAGATAAATGAATCAATGTGCCCTTGTAAAGTCTCCCTTGAAACATCATTGCTGCCTCTGTGAGGATGATGATGGTTCTGTATGTCTAAGCCTTTCTTCTACTGAAATCATACTGGACTGCACTAGAAATCATCGAAGAGGTCTGATCAGATAGACCAAACTGCATTTGTTGGCACCGAACATAGGCTAGTCGGACGTAGGTTATCTGGGTCAGGCTGACGGCTACCTTTGTGGCACAGGGTAACATTTGCTTCATGCGCTGCCAGGAAAAGCATGGTGTCAGAAAACTTCCGGTAGAATATTGTGGGTGGTTTAAAATGATCCCTTAGTACTTGTACTGCGGCATTTTGTAGTTAATAGCTTTCGTTTTACGGCCACTACGGGTGGTATGTGCCAGAAATGTTATACTGGTGGCTGTTTATGTGCGTTTAGTTGCCACTGACCAGGTGATTGTTGGCTTGTCAACAGAGCTTGGGAACTGGTTCTCAAACGTTCCGTCACTGCACAAAGAGACTTCATCAATGGCCGTATCGCTTTGTAGAGAGCTTTCAAACTGGCCAACTTCTCCTGAGCAGGAAGCTAGACGTTTTCTGAGTTGAGGCTGTTGCGTGAGTCTGTTGGTTTCGGACCGGCAATCAGCGGCGGCGTGCTCAAAACACCGGTGTATGAGTGGCGTATAGTTTCGTGTCATGGACATATCTTACTGACTGCGGCAAATCAAAGTTTATTTTCGATGCTCAAATCATGAACCTTATCGTGCGTTAAACGAGTCGGCCAACTTCCAGGATTGATGTCTCAGCGCTCTTGCAGTTTGCCAGTGCAAGCATGTATTGGACGTCGGTTGTGCATATACAACCGATTTAAAACGCTGCTGCTGGCTACGTAGTTTGGAAAATTTACCTGAGAGGTCAATTTTGCTCGCTTGTTTTTTTCTTTTACTCTGAGGACGCATATATACATACATACAAAAACGATCTACTACTTATTAGCTTTTCGCCTCCAGTAGCTTGACACTGAATGAGTCAGCTGGCCTACAGACAACTCTTTTGTCCCAGGGAGCATAACAAGAAAGCCCGTTGGGTAAGAATCCAATCAATTTTATCGTACGCAAATAGGAATGCCCCTATACCCCTGCTGGAGCTGAAGAGGATTCCGAGCAGTGTTGGGTAGCCAGCCTGGATAGAACCCAGTCTTATGTAGGTCTAGTCAATCCAGAAAGTAGGCTAGTAACCTTCGTTTGTGTATGAAACTTGATCCACATAACACCTCTACTTATCTGAGCCGGTGATAGGGGTGTGGGTGGGCACGTTCAGATAAATGAATCAATGTGCCCTTGTAAAGTCTCCCTAATAGGATCGCTACACTGTTTCGGAATGATTGGTGTTTTGGGACCAGAATCACACCGTTAGTTATTGCTAGTCCTTGTTTGGGAACCAGTCGGCACACGGCTTTCTAGTCTCGAGTAGCTTGTCTTCGAAACAAACACGACTGTGTAGTAAGAATATTAAGCACGACAAAGTGGCAATCTATTTGTTTTTGGGGTTTTGACTTGGATAGTTTGTCGAATTTATTAGATTTCAGAGTGTGGCCACAAAATATGCGTATTTTCTCCAAGTAAGTTATGAAATTTGACTGCTCAATTAACAAAATGGCCAAGATGACCCGGAATGTTGTTCTTGGAATTGCCGGCCACACAAAACCAACTAACATAAAATTTAACTGATTCAAAGCAATGTGAAAGTTCGTATGATAATAGCCGATACAGGCCGAAGGATTATACTCAATCAACTAACGATATAAATATTGCAATAACAACGCATAATAATAGTTCCAGGGATTGTGGATACACAGAGTGCTTAGATGATCAAATTTGGGGCTACCGCGATGTGAAAAATGGAACCAATTCAGTCAGTTACCAGAATATTCCACTCTTCGTTCTAAAGGTAGAAATCTACAAGCACAAGAACCTTGCGAAGAGGATCGCCTTCTTGTTTTTCTGTATAAAGCCACTATACCAGTCCCTCGTCTCATAAAAGGTTTGATTGTGCACCACAGTCAGACTAGGTCTTCTGGTGAGAAAGATGAGAATTTCAGCTGGGTTCCAGGTGAGTCTGTCGCAAAACCAAATTAGTTTGCAAATGAGTGTATTTCGCTAATTTCGTGCAATTTGGTTCCAAGTGGAACATAAGGTTAACAGAAACTCGAGGACTGCGCCTACTTGATGAGCCCCAAGAAAGGCAAAACCGGTCGTGGGCTGTTGATGAATTTTCAGCAACCTTATGAGTAGTGCATTACGATTATACATACATCGCGATATCTCGAATACCGAAGCGACTGAAGCACGAGGCGGCCTGATACAGCACATTCAGTTGCCTGGAAACATCACAAACGAGAGATTCAGCTGGGCTCCAGGTGTGTCTCTCGCAAAACCAAATTGGTTCGCAAATGAGTGTATTTCTCTAAGATCTTCTGATGCTTTTGTTTCAAATTTTGTAGCCTAAAACTACTCAATCAGAACTCAAGGTGGACGGGCTCTGCTTACCTGATGAGCCGCAACGAAGGTGAAACCGATTATGGGTTATTGCAAAGTCTCTAGCATAGTTCCACAAAAACCCATTGCAAGGTCAACTCATGTAGCGTGTGATACTCGTGTGATTACTCGTGCTACCTGTGACAAGAAAGAGGTCACTGCGGAAATCATGTCCTTCTGACTTTTCTTTTCATCCGGTCACCCCTAGGTGAAACTAGCCAAATTCACGTGCACAGCAAAAAACGTGAGGGGTTCAGTCAACCACATGGTGAGGTGCGCCATATCGATATCACAAGGTGTTGTGCAATTAATTCGCATGCAGGCCCAATCAAATTCGATGGCCGTTTATGTTTCAGATAGACTAGGGGTTGTAGGTCATGACGCTGAATTTCGATCCATTTTGAGATTCACAATGGGGAAATCGAGGCAGTCTTAGTATGAGTGGAAGACATCTTCTTCGTCACAGGGAGTTGACGCAGATGAACTCAAGCCGGACGTCTGCCAATTGCACTCAGGTGTATAATATTATGTACTACGACCCCATCCGACGTTATACCTGGTGTATTCTATAAACGCAGTAGCCAAATAACAGTATCATCCGACTACTGGAAGACTACTTAATGAGTAATCATTTACAAACCTCTGACCTACACGGGCAAGTTTGACAATTTTTAAGACCATTATTTTCTCTAACTGTAGTCATTTATGGCATTAAACAACGTTCCACCAAAAACTTCATCATTTCTGGTTGGATAGTAGGTAAATCAAGTTTCTGGTGTTTTCAAGGCGTTCAGACTGATGCTTAATTACAGATCTTATCTGCATGCCTATTCTTAGATGAAGAAGACTTACGTCCAAATGGATAGCCTTTAAGGAGAAAACGTCCGGAATGGTTAGACACATTGTAGCATCTGACGAACAAAAGAAAGTGCACTGAAGTTTAGGTCACCCGTCATCTCTTACATACGGATGCTCAGTTTATAGTGCCAACCTGTGGTATTCTGAATCGGTGAACTTTTAGGTGAAATTTCTATGCTAACTCCTTTCCCAAGGTGGACAGCATCCACTTCGCCCGTTTTGAGTGTGCAAATACGTTGTGGAATTAAATGGAACTGCATGAATTTTGAATCCAGAAATAGGTTTGGGCTTGTCAGTCTCTTGTCAGTCTATTTGTCCATACTATCTGCAGTCAGAGACAGCTGTGTTGGTGATTGCGAAGGAATTTTGTTTTGGGAACGAAGTGGCCCACAGTAAATGGAATAACGTGTACTGTTAATGACATTTGCGGGTCCAGTTATTTATGTAGAATAAGCCACCATATCTGTCTGTTACAAAAGGCCAACACATTGTCAAAAGACTATCTGTTCATTCCATTTTACTCTTATTCTCGACTCAGTGAACATCGTATCTCGTAAAAATTCAATCCAAACAAGCTTCACTAGTAAGCCGAGCAAAGTACGTGTCATGGGGGCAGACAGTTTTCCATGAGCTCCAGACGGATCAATTATTTTTTACGCATATAACCGCTAGTGAATTGAGTTTTGTCCAGCTCCAGCGAGGTCAAACACGAGCCGAGTTCAGGCGAAAAGTGTAGAACACATGTTTTATGGATAGTTAGAAACTAATGGAAACTATCGCGGAGAGTTGGCGGAGCTGCGGAGAAACGTGTGGATTATTCGGCGTGTTGAATAAGCATGCATGATGACTGCTGGGGGTTTATCAGATTGTACAGTACGCAGGTGACTACCTTATATGGGCATATTACTACAGCCCAGTTATTGTATAAGAATTGTCGAAATAAATTTGTGTGACCATCTGCTACTTGCAGTGGTTCACCTATCCGGGGGACAGCACCTAAATCTTCGTCTAAACAATCCTTTGGGTTAGTAAAAACAAGTGGACCAAGAGCTTGGTATTTCAAATGAAGTTCTGCGTTTAAAGTGAAGTCAGTCTGCATCAAAATCCTACGGGCATTGTACAGCTGTTCCCTTCTCATTGTTAATCACCAGCGGTTCGCATCTCACAAATCCCTACACGGAATCGAACCCAGGACTGTTCGTGGTGGTTGGAGACTAAGACAGTTTTCCCGAGTGGCCAGTCCGCAGTATCGCCATCTTGTGCCCAGACAGGTTGAAGCGTCCCTTGTTCTTCAACTACGGAGGTCGCCTAGCATTTTACCACTTGATAGTATTTCCTTCAAAGGTCCAACAAAGCATCCCTCACTGTATGTGTTATATGATGTCACGAGGACAAAGTTGTCCTGAGTTTCCAAAACTAAAGCATCGAAGACCATCATCTAAGCACTCAGAGTGTCGAAACTGCCGAAATTCGAGTGCAGCAGAAATGGTACAACACATCAGCAATTTTGCTGCTTGCTTCAAAAGACATCATAATCTCCTGGTCGAAGAGACCTTCAAACAAAAGATGTTTCCATCCATGACCGAAGATGTTGAATCTGGATCGTGCCACACCATGTTTGTGCTGCCGGACTGGTTATCCGGATTTTCCGCGGGTCCACCGCTTCTTTGCGGTGGATCTCATCGCAATCGATGCTCCCACGCCTCACAGAGCTGATGGGAAAAACGGTTATCTCACTCTACCTCGAATGACTCAAAAATACAAAGTGCATATTTGATTGGGTTTAACGGATATTTAATATCTGCCTAGGTGACGAAGATCTAGATCAGTCGACAAACAAGAATCTAGAAAATGGTTCAACACAAATAACTTTTTATTGCCGGACCAAGTATACATCCAGAATTCACGTGAAAAATCAGTTTGCTCTTCCAGAAGGTTTCGTTTTGTGCAATTATCTGAATAGATTATGGCCACTGGGTCGGGCAGCGACGGAAATTGCACCAGTATAAGATAGGAACATGTGAACTGAAAGGTGAGCAAGGAGACTACTCAGTTGTCCAACTAGATCTAGAGAGTTCATTAACCTCAGGTGTAAGCAGGAATCAAGTACAAACAAGCCGGTTTTTGGAAAAAGCAGCCTAGCTATCTTCCGTTTAGTATTTTAGATTCGGTGGACAAAAAACGATCCTAACACTAGCAGACGTCATGCGGATTAGATAAGCCATACATCGATACAAGAAGCATAGAGGGTATCGTGTACCATACTCGATTCAGATCATCGGGTATTTTATGGCAGACTTTTAGATAATGACATAGATCACAAGTCCCCAAACGGATCAAGGTCGCAATGAAACAAATAACCTACAAAGTGCGCAGCAAAATCACAATTAGATTTCCTGGACAGTTTCGACAGTGAAGTTTGTTACGGATAAGATTCTCCCAAGAATCATCTAAACAAAAGCATTTTGGTCCCCTCCAGCTATATGTCCTACGGAAATTTAAAGCGCCCTGTTATGACTACACCGGAGCTGGTAATTCCTAACCAGCATTATTGCAGTCTGGACCGTGATCTTGCCCATTGACCGATATCACCATGTCGCACGACAAAAATGGGTGATGCTGGACACTAGCTGACGAATAAGCAGACGAAAAGCTATTAGTAGAGGTGAAATGTAACAATTTCAGATGAATTCTGGGAGCTAAGTCGTCGGAGAAGCCTAGATAAAAATTAGCACCGGCTTCTCAAGTCACCAAGAGATTACACCCAAAAATGGAAATTTGAAAATTGCCTATATATATAAACACACCCTGTAGAGATCTCAGTAAGTACCAAGACTCATAGGGGCACAAAGTTGAGAGAATAAAATACTGAAAAGCCCTCAGTACCAAATGGCCTACAGCGCATTCCATGGACATCTCTACTAGTGATCAAGATACAGTTCACAGCGCAAAAAATCAACACCGCCTGGCCAAAAGTGCAAAGAAATATCTTCGTGTCGTCAAAATGATGGATGAGAAAATATCAAATCGCCGAGACAAACCGACAAACTTTCCAAAATACCACAGTCACAATAAATTGGACCCCAGAAAACTGGTTCCCTGGAGGGCCAGATAAGTCTATGACTTATAAGCACTACTCCGAAGAGTTAGAACACGGTTTCCGGAATAACAAAACTAGACATTTGATTTTGACTTCACTCCCTAGTTCGCTTCATATCACAACAGCATGTGACATGGTTAGTGTGATTGTTGGTATGATTGTTCAGGAGAGGTGACGTGCGACGGCCAGTGGCGAAAATATCCATAAAAACGTACCTGCAACTGGTTGACCTGCATCGAAGAACATCAAAATGATGCGCAATTAGTGCATGACACACGGTAAATTTGTCAAACCGAGTAGTCAGGGTCACGTTTGATCTCATGTACATATTGAAACATGTCAGTGGGAGAGCACTGGGTGTAGTCACGTGTAGACAGTGGCATATTCATGTTCCCTGGTTTAGCATGAAGTACACACACTAAGTTCACACGGTAATTACGTATTTGATTAATCCAAAGAACGTTGAACTGCCTTAAAAATCAACACTAAATTTTACCTTTAACTTTCAACCAAGGGTAGGCCATATCACAAAATCCTTCTAGTTGGTCATCTGAAATAACTAGTTGGATCGAGTGCAAGATGGGGCTAGAATGTTTCTGTAAACGAACCTGCAACAGGTGCACCTGTATGAAGTTAAACGGAAATGATGGCAGTCGAGAGACGATCAGCAATCAGTGTGGTAGACTGAGTGATCAGGCAAATTTTGATCTCATTCACATATTGAAAAATGCAGGGTACACTGAGGTCTTAGTTGTTGAAATTATCGCGCATCTCACCTTCCAAATGGAGATTTAGATAGAGCACAGCCCCCCTTATGGGTTGTCCGCGGATTCACCTAATGACAGTAATACTAGTTCTACAGAACAATGAGTCATCCATCGCCTATCTATTGGTTTCGATCTCACAACCAATCTGACGAAATCAGGTTGACAGGTTTCGCTACTCCGTTCGGATATGTGGACTCCTCGGGTATTCTGAAATGAGACGTTCAGATGTTTCTAGAAAATACAAACCTATACTTAGGTAGTGGGCAGCAACTCAATGTGAGAGCGCTTTCGGTATCACTTCGGCGACTGCGTGCGAACTGTCCCTCTACATGAATGTGAATCCCATGCTAATTTCATCTCCCCCATAGAAAATATTGGCCAATTCATAATCGCGAACATCGAGTCAGAGAGCTGTTGGGCCTGGAAACCGGACAAGTTGGATATTCAGCCAACGGGTATGCGTTGGGTTAACCAAATAACAGGATACACAAACTGGTATAGATGACGGTGAAAAGTTCGCCAATGAACTGATTTTACCAAGTCCCTTTGAATAGATTCTGTCGTCGACGAGGATGGAAGCCACATTCCGCACGCATAATCGGAGAAAGCGAAATCTGCAGAGAAGCCCCCGTAAACTGAGCATTTCAGTACGCTCCGTCCACACTGGAACTAAAAGTAACTTACAAAATGACGAGGGCGAGGAGGGAATGCGGTCGAAACATGTCTTTGAAGTGGACCAAATGTAGGTGTATTTGGAGTTCGGGTTATTAATAGAGCAATTAAATGGTATCTGAGCCGGGCGGTGTTGCCTTGTAATAGAAGGGTTCTGTTTGAATCAGGAAAGCCTCAGTTATAAAATAGCTGATTAATCAGCGAGCGCACACCACAAGAAAACAAAGATGCTAATCCGTGACAATCGTCGTCACCAACTAGACAAAAGACGCATAGGAGGTAGTAGCCGAAAGTCAGCAAATATGAGGTAACTGTTATAACATCCAAATCATGTTCGTCCGTGTGTCGGCACCACAGATGCGAAACACACAAACAGAACGCGAGGTAACTTGTATTAACGGTTTTATGAATTATTCTCCAATGTGGTCAGGTCTGTTTCCTGACAACCGTGAACAAAAATGCGACACGGAGGGTTTCTGCATCAGCCGCCAGAATTCCGTCAGAAACTGAACTCGCCGAGCTCGCTCGTCATTCGGACACGTGACACGCCCACAATCTGCATCATAGCCCGATGCATTTCATGATCGGAAAATGACAGACGATTTGCCCACTCAAACAGTCTTTCGTGCGTTCAAAGCCGATGTACCACGATGGAAAACCCTCTCCAATTAGTTCAGCTTGGCAAACAACTTCCACATGAGTCAACCGAATCTGAGTTCTAGTTATCCGTTTCAGTCACAGAGTATGTGATTCGACATTGCACTGGACTACAAGATTGATGCCAAGACTCACAAGCTGAACCATACGTCATTGCCTGCTTAAACCGCATGCGAGTAAAATCGCGCGGTTTCGACTACTACTAATAATAACCGAGACACATGTATAGGTTCGCTTGCAAAGTTGACGCTTCGTGCAAACTGATGCAAAATACATGAATCTGACAAAATTCCGCCTTACCCGGACGACTTTTAGCTGAGTAAAATGAGTAACATAGGTTTAGGAAAACATGAGACATAAAGACCTACATAATTTAGTCAGATATACAGGTAGGTGCACACTGTCTGTCTGACAAAATACTGAGGAATGAACAGAGGAGGGAAGCTTTCCCGAAGATCGTGGACCATATGAACATCGACCAAATCCCACCTAAATTCTCAAATTCCATCGCCTATGTTCGGTAACCCGCAAATCGATGTGGCCGAATGCTTTTGACCAAGGACATCCTCGAGAAACACCAGACAAACTTCGTGTTCATCGCACAGCGAAGTTTGAGGCAGCAGCACCGTTTATCTCAGAAAGTGCGAGTGAAGTAGATCAATTGATTTCCGATAGCATCAAGCCGAGTCTCTAGATATCTCGTGTAAATACAAATGTCCAGGTTCCCACAATGGCACATTGTCTCAATTAGAATGGGCGTTTCAGAAAACCTCCAACGGGAGAGTGCAAATCGGAAGCATGCTACTATAATACCCAGCCTCCAACGGCGACTGACACATATGTGCCGAGTGGATGTGAAAGAGGTTTCGGAGCAGCGTCAATGTGATCAGCTGCACGGATCAGCACAACCGTATTAGCCAAGAGCTTCGATTTCTGGATACCTTGTTCGAAAACCTTGAAGATGTTGAGGTTTCTCTCCTGAAATATGATACGCTAGCATACGAACGGCTGTATTGGCGGGAAGCTATTAGAACCGGATTTTGTCAACTCCACGTTCGCGAACTTCGACCCAGAGCGGGAACGTGAGTGATACACAAGGGAATTATCAGTGCGATTGGACGTGGAGAGCGAATCAGCCGCATCCACAGGCACTGGATGTGCACTGGATTGATCGATCACCGGGGGACACAAAGTAAGATGTCGGCGGAACGTCCACGATTGCGGTGCTGACCGTCTGCGCTTTCCAGACTCCCCAGAAAACGGAGTCTGTGACGGCGCTAAAAGCGTCTTTCCGGAACACACGCTCTGGAGATCCAACTTCGCAGAAATACTATGCTACACTGAGTGTTTCACGGTTCCCATCCCGCATTGGCGATAGATGGAACTTCCAATGAGTAGCAATAGCAGCAGACAGAATGAAACTCAGCATAGACAAGTTCTTTCTCGAATATAATATGCTCAATTTTATGCAGAACAGTGGTTTCGTTTCTGAAGTTGTTTCATTTTACGTCACATTTCACGAACACGGTAAACCAGAGCTTCAGTGCAAAGTCAACAGCAATATTCAATGCACTATTAGGCATTCAGATTTGGGTCATCGAAATCGTGACCGAAATCAATATGAAATCTGCCATACAGACCCACAAAATGTCCGAGATATCACAGTCACAAGAAATTGGGGCTCAGAAAACTGGTACCCGGAACCGCCAGATAAGTCCAATCATTGGTTTGTACACAAACAACACCGGACAATTCGAACACAGTTTCTGGAATAACAAAACCCGACATTAGATTCTGACCTAGTTTCCTAGTTCCCTTCATATCACAAAAGCCGTCTACCGAGACATCTGACATGATTAGTGTGATTGTTCAAGCGCGTTGACGTGCGACGAGGAGTGGCCAAAATATTCGTAACAACAAACCTGCAACTGGGGGACCTGTACAGGGAAACGCAGAAATGATGTGCAATTAGTGCATGATACACGGTAAATTAGTCAAACCGAGTAATCAAGGTCAGGTTTGATCTCATGTACATATTGAAACATGTCGGTGCGGGAGCACTGGGTGGAGTCACGTGTAGACAGTGGCATATTCATGTTCCCTGAAGTACACACTGAAGTACACACACTAAGTGGAGATTCAGGCGGAGCGAAACCGGTTGTGAGCTTTTAGCGGATTTCCTGTAATCGTACTAATCATTCTACACGTTTATTCTAACTGAATGACACTAGATTTATGGGTTACCGGGTGCAGGCGGTCATCCTGAACGTGACTACCCAAAAGTCGTGATATAAACCTGAAATAAGGTGATTGGCTACTGATCCAAGCAGGTAATCGCTCTAATCTTTCTACCTGTTTATTCCAGCTCCGATGTGTGCGAAAATGTTTCAGCCATGTTGTTATGTTTTCGAGCACAATCATCATCGTCGACAGCATGGCATCGTTTTTCAACACTGGTGTCTATCTGCTCAACCCCCTGTAAGTTTGGCCTTTCGGCCGCAAGCGCTTGAATAACAGCGTGGTTATCTCGCAACCAAAATGTACCATCTGTGAGCAGGCTTAATGAAACAAGCCACCAGTAACCCATGTATGCGACTATCCTTTATCGGATTCCAACGCGCCGGTTTGTTGCATCCACCTGTGTTGCTATCCGTAGGAAATATGGAAGCATGTCCGTGAGCTGTCCACCGTGCGGCTCTTTTCTCTCGGGTTTTAACCGAATATCAGGCATCCATCTTATTACACATGCCACTTAGCACAAACTGAAATCGATGATGTGTTGCGGGAGCATACGGTGCAGATGAATATGTGTGAAATCGCAACTGAACGTCAGTCCATAATGTGTGCTTGTACGCATGCATGCATGGTTGTATATATATCCCATTTCAAAAATACTGGGATTCTTGAACATTCCTCGTTTTTGTGCTGATCAACCGGCATAGGTCAATGTGGCAGGTCAGTTCGGAAACGAGCTGCTAGTCAAGTCACGATTCTATGGGATCGGAAAGGACGCATGGGGTTGACAGATATGGCTGTCGGAGGCGTAGGCTTTGGTCTGAACATCCAAACGTACAATGCGCTCGGTCTACACGAACCGGCCTCTATTTAAAGCCCAAGACTGCTTCGCATGCAAAGGCTAGAACTGAGGTTTGAGGACAGTGGATGGATTCTCGTGTGAGAGAAATCAACTGTTCTGTCAAATCTATGTAGATACATGCATGTCTTTCGGCCAGTCGGCGACTTTGTTCCCTCGAGTGAGGATCAACCGGCTGTACACCAGTAGCAAAATCATGCAAACAGATCGATAAGCAACACCTTCGACAATGCATTTATTGGCAGTTTTTTTTACATTTAGATCGAATCTGAGGTTTAGACTGGAAGTTAAGCCGAGATACACTCGCTCAGACACACCCGTCATGTCGGTACAGGCCTATAAACTTTCCTTCATCAACTCGGTATGCGTTTCCAGACTAAATGCAAATGTGATATTCTTCAATCATATGGTGCCTAGATCTGCATTGCTATGTCTGCATATTTTGGTGCGAACCATCTTTGAAACCTGTTCAGTTAATATGCCACCTATCTCGAAGGAGTAAACTCGTGTACAAGTGGGTGTAGTGACCCGTCAAATTTTGCATGCTGTGGACTCCGTGCACTGTGGATACGCAAGCACGGGTTAGAATGGCCCAATTGTCAATTGGGTTCACTGGTGTGTTCTATTTCAGGCAAACTCTTCACACAGATAACTGCATCTGTGAAGTCTTTGCAGATGTTAGGCGGAACTCCACACGGATCTCTCTTAACCGCTCACATTCAGGTGCTGCTACGGCCGAGAAGTCCATCCCACGCAAGTTTGGCCAAGAATTCGAGACGCTCGCTGGTCCGGCATCAAGACGAGATCTGATTGGTCGAAAGTCTGGACCCAACAGCCACACACGACCCAGTACTGGCCGGATGCGGTTACCAATTGCGCATCCAGAATGCGTCAGAAATTCCAGAAAGATATTGCCACATACGCTATATATATGAAGCGCTGTATAACTGTTCCTGACTTCGTTTTAGGCGTCAATAAACCTCGTGCACCTTTGGTGAATCTTTTGATACGCCAGCCAGTTGGGTAGGCCCAGAGTGAGAACTAAGGTGAGAAAAATACCGTTACTACGCCAGTGCATTTGG